GTCCAGGGACTACCACTCCTTGCCTTTCTTCCTTATGAGAACAAAGGTTGCTGACAAGGGGGACCTGAATTACATCAAGAGTGATTTCATTGCTCTGTGCATGATTGTAAAGGGCATGGAGGTCATCCTTGATCCTGTCAATGAAGGGGAATGACTTGCGGGGAAATGAGCAGATCTCATGAATCAGCAGCTCTTTGCACAGATGATATCAACAATAGGTATTTGCTTTTTACCACTGTGGTACCCTCCTGGAGGATCAAGGACTGTCAGGAAGAGGTGGAATCCACATGAAAAAAAAGGGTAAAAGCATCTTTGCAAAAAATCTGACCAACCTTGGTGAGGAAATCTCTAAACAAGGAATGCTGCAGGAGGGACATGATAATCCACAATCAGGTGCAAAGGTGATGGACTCTACTGGTAAGCAAATGGTACAGTGTGATATGGGACAGAAAGAACCTGGAAAATAGCAAAATGACAGCAGTGGTCCATCCCCAGGTCTATATGCATAGATAATGAAGTGTCTACAGAACAGCACTATGGGGGAAAATCTCATATGTTTATTTGGTATACATTTAGAGATGCCTCTCTGAAGTACCTGTACACTAATGCACACAATATAAGGAACAACAGGACAAATTTGAGGTCCACGTGCAGTCACTGGTCTGCTATCTTCTTGGGTCACAGAGATGTGGAATAGTTCACATAACTGGAGTGCTGCTGTGGTTGGATACAGGCTCATTAGGAAGGACAGCAAAGAGTGAAAGTTTCCTGTTGTGTGGGAAAGCAGTGGGAATGCAAAAAGCTCTGACTGAAGTTGCATGAACCTGTAAGGACCTTATGTGTTAAGGTTAGAGGTGAGACCAGTATGGGTGTCATTGTGACAGGTGTCAGTACAGAAGGCCTAAACAGGAAAGTTAGGCCTTCTTCCAGCTAATGAGAGAAGCCACATGGTTACAGGCTGTGGCTGTTGTAGGGGACTTCAACCACCCCAGTATCTGCTGTAGGGACAAATGAGCAACACACAAGCAACCCAGGAGGTTGCCGGAGTACGTTTATGATAACATCTTGACATAGGCGATTGAGGAGCTGGCAGAGACGTGAGGATGGGATGTCCTGCTGGATCTCATACCTGCAAACAAAGAACAAGGACACGAAGGCCAAGGCAGCCTTGGCTGAAGGAATCATGAGACGGATGGTGGAGTCCAGTATCCCAAGAAGAAAGGGCAAGACAAATAACTGTATCACAACCCTGTACATAATGAGAGCAGACTTGGGCCTTTTTAGGGGCCAAGGACTTTGAAGAATTCCACAGGAAACTATGACAGAGAGAACAGAGGTCCAGGAGAGCTGAATCATTCAAGCTCAATTACCTCCTCCAAATGTCTGAACCCAACAAAAAGGGAGTATAGATGGCAGGAGATCCTCAGAGGTGAATAAGAAACTCCAGACAAATGTCAAATATAGAAAGTAAGTATACCAAAGGAATACATTGCTAAGATTACAGGAATTAGAATTGAATTAGGACAGCCAAAACCTACCTGGAGCTGAATCTGAGATGGGATATGTATGGCAAAGTCAGATGCTTCTACAGGCACATTAGCAGAAAAAGAAAGACTAGGGAATATGTGGACCAGCTGTTGAAGGTGACAGGGGACCTGGTGATAAACGATGTGGAAAACACTCAAAAAAAAAAAAAAAAAAAAAGGTTACTCCTGTCTTCAAGAATGGCAAGAAGGAAGACTAGGGAAACTACCTGCCAGTCAGCTTCACCTTAATCCCTGGAAAGGTGATGAAACATATCTTCCTAAAAAGCATTTCAAAATATGTTCAGGACAAGAAGGTACTTGGGAGTAGTCAATACAAATTTACAAATGGCAAATCATGCCTAGCCAACCTGGCAGCTCTCAGTGACAAAATTACTATCCGAATGGATAATGTAAGAACAGATGATATTGTTTGTCTTGACTTTAGCAAAGCTTTTGACAAATCTTCCATATAAACCTTACAGTAACACTGATGAAAAATGGACTAGATAAGTGGACAGTGAGGTGGACTGAAAAGAAGGTGAACCACCAGGCTCAAAAGGATGTGATCAGCAGCAAAAAAAAAATCCAATCCAATCATTAGTGATCTAACCTAGGAGTCAATACTGTTTCATTTCTTCATTAATGACCTGATGGGACCAAGTGCACCCTCAGCAAATTTGCAGGATTGTTTGCTAGAAAGATCTGATGGTTGTGATGTCATTCAGAAGGATCTTGATGAGCTGCAGAAATTAGCAGAAATGAATTTCATGAAGTTCAACATTGTGCATTGCAGGCAGGTCAAGGGAGATAATCTCTGCCCTCTACTCAGCCCTGGTGAGACACATCTGGTGTTCTGGGTTCAGTTCTGGGCTCCCCAGTACAGGAGAGACATAGATATGATGGAACTAGTGCAGCAAAGGGTAGCAGATATGATTAAGGGACTGAAGAATCTGACACATAAGGAGAGGCTGAAAGAGTTGGGACTATTCAGCCTGAGGAAAAGGAGAGTCAAGTGGGACCTTATCCATGTATACGGATACCTGCTGAATGGGAGAAAAGAAGATGGGGGAAGACTCTTCTCACTGGTGCTTACTGGCAAGACAAAAACGAATAAGTACAAATTAAAGGACAGGAAATTCTATTTGCTCATAAGAAAATTCTTATATGTATTTTTATTTTTATTTTTATTTTTTACTGTGTGGGTGGCTAAGACCAGAACAGCTTGCACAGAGATGTTATGGAATGTCCATCCTTGAAGATATATAAAAACCAACTGGGCATGTCCTTGCTTGAGTGGGGAGGTGAGAGGGCACGGTGAGGCAGGAGGGTGAGGGGGACACACACAACTCCAGAGATCCCTGGATTTCAACCATCTTGTGATTTGTGACTCTGTGTGGGTTATGTTACATTTTACCCACCATATTGACCTTCTCCTTATTGTTTAATTCTGTTTTGAAAAAAATACTCACACAAATCACTATTCTACTTGATTTGAAGTAGAATATTTCATACCTTTTCACAGACATGCAAGATTTCTTCATATTAATATTATTTTTATTGTTTAGATAGCTGCTTTATTTTATCATTACCTAATTTGGAGGAAAGCTTATATGTTGATTTATTCTGTTCTTTTGTTTTGAGTTCTGGTACTTTTTAGCATTTTCTAATTGCTTGAAGGACTTAGGAGGCCATGGAAAATGAATTGCCAAATTCTAACATGGTCCTTTTCTTATCAATGAAATTTTTTCTCATTTAACTTTTTTCTTTTTTTTTTTTTTTAATTTGATCCTTAGTCCTTAATTATGTATGTCACAGATATGTTACATTGCCTATGTACAAGTACTGAAGGGGTGTAATTACCAAAACACATGGAATTAAGTCATTAAGTCCTCAGAAAGGACAAAAATGTGGAACTAGGGGCACTAAATTAATGAAAATGAATTAGAAAGAAACATTCTCAAATGTATGATTTTTTAAATTGTATTGACTCAAAGAATTAAGTGGAAGCTGAATCACTTGAGTGATTTCAAACTATGCTATGTAATACAACATATCAAAAAATAGGGTTTGAGAAGGTGTCTAGACTATGTTGGATAATTTTTGTCAAACTATAAAATGGACATTAATGGAAATTTTTGCTACCACTTATGAACTATAAAATCATTAAGGTTGGAAAAGGCCTCCAAGATCATCTGGTCCAACCATCCCCCTACGAGCATTACCCACTAATCTATGCCCCTAAGCACCATATTCAACCTTTTCTTAAATACCCTAGGGATGGTGGCTCCACAACCTCCCTGGACAACCTGTTCCAATGCCTAACGACTCTTTCTGAGAATTAGTTTCTACTAATTTCTAATCTGACTCTGCCTATAATGCCACAATATTATAGTTAAGTTCTGCACACGTTGTTTATCAAAAGGGTAGAGCCAGTGTTAGGAAACAATTTCCATCTCAACAATTTATAACTTCTACAAATCTACAGACATATAAATTATAGGTTCACAGGACACTTCTGTTGTTTCAGAGGGTATTGTGCTATGTCAGGATCAAAAGGATCTGCAATTTTTAAAGGCTTTATTTAAACGGTGAAATATTACTTTCCTTCCTATGTATTTGTCTGTATTTAATAAGAGAGCTATAAATACTGGTCCAATTGTTAAGCAGTTGCAGAGATTACAGATATCTGTTAGATAAATAATAACTGAAGGTTTCCTTCTAAATGGTACTACAAGTTAATGGTAGCAATAGTGTAGAGATTATATAACTTTTTATTGAAGTGTTTTATATCAGTGCTATATCTATAAAAAAAATCATAACTTTTGGAATCCTTTGAGAGATCCAGAAAACATATACTTTGATTTTAAATATTCAGAGAAAAAGTGAGTTCTTAAGTTCATGCTGTTTTACATCCTGCAGATTCAGCTGTCTACACTGAAATGGCTCTGTGACTCTCATGCACAGGCGTCTTTTACATGCAGTCATTTGGTTCAGATGTTAGCTGCATTGTAATGTTTCATTTGCCTTGGCAGAACTCTGACACATAACTAGGAAATTGTATTGTTTGCAGATGTTGTTCAAAAGATTCAGTGCCATTTTTTTTTTGAGGGACCACATCTTTCCATTCTGTAAGGGAATCTGTATAACTGTAATTAAAATCTGAAACATGCTTTGGGGCAATAGTGCCCCATTGGTCCTCTCTTTGTTTTGAATTTCAAATGGCTGTGAAAACACTGTTATTGTCACCTCCTCTAGCTTTTACAGGATAAGATAATCTATTTATTTATTTGTTTGTTTGTTTGTTTTTAATGGAGGAGAAAAAAAAAACAGTGACTTGATACCAAATTTCAATTTAAAGAACAAGCTGTCAGCTACTACTGATAACATCAGAGAAGGCTAATCCTAAAACATAGCATAATAATCCATCTATAAAACATTTTAAAACAATACCAAGGGAACATTCTCAATACTCACCCAAGCCTTTTTGTGATTTCTCTTCAGGTCAAAAAAACCTACAATATTGAAGCAGTGAGTAGCAGGAAGTACAACACAACAGATATCTATAGCAAGAAAGGGAATGCCACAGCATATGGCTCATACGTCACAGGACACTTTGGCAGTATGTTTGTACACCCTCTCATCTAGCCTAAGAACACTGTTACATGTTACTACCACCCCTGCATTTTGATTCCATATGACACAGCTCTTAACTGTGTTTGATTATTAGAAGTCCCACAAAAGTGTGGCTATTCTTTTATATATTTTTTATTTGTAACAGAACACTGTTGATCTCAGTCAGGTCAGACACCCTGTCAGGGTCCAATCTTGATGCATCAATGACAACATGTATCACAGCAGTCAAAAGTTCACAGCATATAATAAAAATTGAACTGAAGTCAAGCATGCTATCCTCTTGTGGCCTGAGTGGGACTGTAGGCAACCAGTGATTTGTAGGCACCATTACTTCCCAGATGTTCACTGTATCTAGCCCTTGGCAGGGTGTCAAGGACAAAGAATAATCAGTCTTTAGATATCACTTTTGAAATGTTATGCCCCACGCTTCCTTCAGGTGACTCATTCTTTCCGTGTTGTCAAGAACCACTGATGAAAGCTGACTACTTTCAAAAGCCTCTGACAAGTGAAGCATTCCTGATACATGGAGAAAATGATATTGTGCAGTCAGTACTCACAGAACATACCGTGAGTGATGGATGAGTTACTGCTTTGCCAACATTGTGGTCAACTTCTCTTCCAAACTCAGGACAGAGCCACAGAACAGCTAAAGCGATCTTGGGCCCAGGAGGAAAACACTGGGAATCGACTTGAGGAGTTTTTAAAGTGATTTCAGGGTTCCCATAAATCTAGGTGCTATCTTATGGATGGCGACAATATCCTATCCTATCCTTACAGCAAATCCGTGCATTTAAAATAGGGTAGACACACTGCAGGAGCATGAAAATGACGTGAAAATCGATTGCACTAATGCAGGGCAGTGCTCACGTGGCTATTAAGAAGGCATTTCTGGTTTAATGTGTTTTTTAATCCTTTATATAAATAATGTATGCGGTGTAATAAAATATTACTAACAAATAGGGATTTAAGATTTTATATATATATATAACAATGGCTATCTTACTCTTTGCAGAAATTATGAGTCAAAAATCTAATTATATTGTTCAGAATACATAAACCCAAATGCAAACTCAGAGGAAGCTAAATTTTCTGAAGTTAGAAGGTTTAAATTTCACACTTCTTTATTTATTTATTTATTTATATATATATATATATATATATATATGTTTTTCCCCTTAATAATGTGTATTTGTTCTTGAACATTTCTAAGCTGAGAATGGCCTTCTAGTGTATGGTATATTTTTGCTATCCAGTGTGAAGCTTTTTCCATTATTTATTTATTTTCCTTCCTGAATCTAGCTTGTAAATGTCTCTCTTGATAATTTTATGTTATGCTGCTCATGGTGTTCAGGACTAAAATATGAACAGAGTTAAGTATGATCAGATGTGAACAAGGCATGGAGATGCTTAAGGTAGGCTTTAGGGATCCTAAAACCCTGCACATAAACCCTCTATGGGTACCTCAGTTTTCAAATAAATATTCTTTGGGAGCTTAAAAAATACATGCCCAATAGTGCTTATTTAAAAAGAAAGGGTTTAGGAGCATGCTGCTTGTTTGTGAGCAGCCACCTTGGGAGTCAATCCTACAGGCATCTTCAAGGTTTTGTCTAACACATACTAGTACCACTGAATTTATTCAAAAACATGTACAGAGAAAACAATAGCACTGCTTATGTTAGCCTAATGGTCAAATAATTCAGCCCAGAAATATAGGATTTAAAATATCTTTTGCCTCCAAGGGTTTGAACCACATCTCACCAACTTCACTAAGCTGTAGGCTTTCCCTTTTGAAATAGGACACTGTTCTGGCAGGAAAGCAAGGCGAGAGAAAAAGCATGCAAAAGGCAGCACTGTTCTGCTGCTCAGAGGTGAATGCATTCACCTGGAATGAGATAGAATAGAGCTGCATGTGCTTTCCTGCTCTTTTTGCTATGTTCATTTTAAAATGAATACAAATTTGTTTTGAATATACAATTGAATATACAATGTGGAACATTCAGGCCAGAATGATGTGGATAAAGTCATACACAACATTTGCTAATCCAACTGGACAGAGGACCTCAGGTCAAACCTCCTTTGCAGACATGCCCTTTGACAGCTTGGACTGCTATCCTGGCAATCCAGTGACTGTTCCTAGGCTTCACTGTGCCAGGATGCATGACAAAACATACAGTTCTGGATACTGTGTATTTCTGAAGAACTGTCTTTACTTACTCCCCATCTGTAAAATGTTCTTTACCCCACCCCCCACTATGACTATGTTGTCTATTTAGATTAATACTTAACTACGTACTTCATATATACCTCCTAGCAACAGTGGCCTGAAGAGACGGTTAGGTTTGATTCTTCTGTCATGCAAATAAGCAAAGACCTTTTATTTCCCTTTTTCTCTATATGTATATAATTTATAGATAGGTTTTCTTCTTTTCCAAAAGTCACTTTTTTTTTCTTTTTTTTTATTTTTCTTTTCCCATGTGCAGGGAGACTAACAAGCTGTGGGAAGTCCTGGAGAAAGCAAATATATATATGAATGCATCTGAGCATCCTTTAAACTAGGTGAGGTAACATCCAAGAAACAAACTGTTTTCTCCTGGGACACCTGATCAGTAAATAAACATGTGAGCTGTTGTTGTTGCTTTAATGTAGTTGCACAGTATATGTTTGCAAATGCAGGTCTAAACCATATGTCAACATTTGCCTTAATATACTCATGGAGGCTACCTACAAAGGAATCAGTCAAATAACTTCAAAACATCTATAAATACATACACCTCCCCTTACATTACACACAGTTATATGCACAGTGGTTGTCTGTTGCACTGGGCTTAATTTACTTATCTTGCCTTTTGCAAGCTAAACATAATTTTGTACAGTATTTAAAGTTTATTCTTCCAGTATTTTTTGATATTCTAAATTACTTTGTATGCCACCATTTAATTTACTGCTAATATTTTAAAGAGTTGAGTAAGGATCATGGTAGCCTTGTTTCCAAAAGACTTCTGTAACAAACTTCAACGATAGCTCAGTTTAACAGGAAGTTAGAGTTGCAGTTCATTACAGGAGAGTGATCTCCTTCTATATTGAATTACTGCCAGGAAATATTTACAGGCTACAGTCATAGACTTTACCCTTCAATCAATGGTGGTCTAAGGGAACACTTCCTTAAGTTTGTTAATGCGTTCTGCCAGCCTGACAAGTGGGTGTAAGATAATTCTGCCAACTTCAGTATCTTCCTGAGTGCTGCTTTGAGGCCAACAAAACATCGAAGTATTTTTTTGTGAATAAACAACTCATCAAAACATATGAGAACAGAAGGTTTCAAACATAGTAAAGCAACTGGCATGTTAGAGTTAATGAGAAGCACAATGATACTTTATTCAAACCTCCTAGACCAAGGGTCATCTGCATAATAACATAACATCTCTTACAGCCTCCTTATAACTCTATAGAAATATGTATTAATAACTCTCATTTTCCTGTATCTTTAAACAAAATTGGAATATTTCAATAAATGTGAATAAAATGGAGGGGAAAAAATGTCGTTAATAGAATATGCTTTTACATTCTGTTCTATCTGTCATTGCTGCCCTCCATGTGTTTTTTTTTTTTTCTTGATTGTTTTTTGTTGTTCTAACCTCTTTTCATTATTTTGCATGTCACAGTTATTGACTCTGCTGAAGAATCCTACTTACAAAATAAGGGACCAGAGCTCTAGTTAAGTAGTACTGTTGGAAAAAAAGAACAAAAGTGCATACTTGTCTATTTCTTATTTTATTTACACATCATGGCTTTTTGTAAGGCATAAAGTGCCTTGGACTTCAGCAATTGTTTCCTGTATTATTCTCCGTATCTTGCAAATAAACAAGAAAAATAATATTAATTAATTAATTAAACAAATGAATGAACAAACAAACTTTATGTGCCTGCCTGTTTCTTTACCTGTGCTGGCTAGTGGGTGGAGCTCCAACTGAGTGGCAGAGGAGGATGTGCAAGTGGTCAAAAGTGCTCACATCTGCCAGTAGTAAATTACTATTCCCCCAGTCTCCAGTCACTACACTGACTGAGCAAAAGGAAAACAATGAGCCACAGCTATTTCCTGGAGATGTCCATGGAGATATAGATGCTATGCAAGCTTCTTTATGGGTTGTCTGTATGAGACAAACTCTAATTCATATTGCCACAGGAAGTTTTAGGCAGACGCAGGTTATGGTGAAGGTACAATGTGCACCATAACAGAGAATCCATTGGTTCCATGCATCATTACAGTAATCTGAGAGTAAGATGTCTGGAACAGTTGGGTAAAATTTAGTATAAATGTTGCAGCAATACTTGCTCAGAGCCTCACAGAATATGTTATTATTCTTACTATTACTGCAACAAACAATTTGTTAAGTGGGAAATGTAGCAATGTACACTTGGGAAGTTTCTACTTATCCAGAGTAAGGCACCCTGATATTATAAGGTAAACCTTTGGATTACTTAATCAATAACAAATTGTATAGAAGAATTTTGCCTTTTAAAATGGTACATTAAATCCTGCTAGATAACTAAAATACACATCACAGATGGTTAAGTATATAAGTATATAAAAAAAAAAAAAAATAATAATGGGCATCTTTCAGCTAGGATTTATTTAAACAGAGTAACTTAGAGATCCTCAGAAATGAAGAAAAACAAACAAAAAGCAACTAAACAAAAACAACAAGCAAACAAAAACAGTTTAAACAGCAAAGGTCTAAGACATTAGGAGAAATCATACTAGTTTAGGCAGAAAAAAATCACAAATTACTTTTAATATTTGTAGACAGAATTCACTTTAAAAAATTAAACATTTCTTCTTCTTAATCCAATATATTAAAAAGCATTTATTTAGTGTAAAAAAATAAAGTCTTTATTGTTTCTGTCTACTTGGCATAACAATTTTTCTACCACACGCATTAAATGAGAAAAGCAATTGTACTATTTCTAGTACACATAGCATCACTGATCAACATATTGCCCCAAGCCAATACCCTGGAATCTGAGCTAGCTTGTGCTTTCTGCTCTGAAAGCCCTTCCATCATGTCTGTCGTTACCTAGGCAAGTA